GCTTACAAGATCAAAGTAGCCACAAATGTTGCAAGCAGCATGTTGCCTAGTGTATGGGGGCCTTTATGCTGATACTGCTGTAGTCAACGCTGAGCTCAAAATTTTGAATTAAACTTATATCCATATTAACTATAATACTATAAAATATAGTTACAGTACAACTATTCATTAGGCTGTACCTGGTAGAGCTCATGGTAAAGGCTTTGGATTGGTCCTGGCTGGTGGTAAGGACATTGACGCCAATGGGTATCCAGGTACGCCAGTCAATAAGTTTATTATTAATAAATAATTATTAATTTTTGGTCTAGATTTAAGCGTTGGGGATTTGAGCGGATCTGAAGTGATAAGTATCAGAAGCAGTCCTATCATTAGTGTAGAGGTTGAGCTACTGGAGACCGACCTGACCATTAATTATGCTGAAAAGAATTGCATTATTAACAACATTGAACTTGTCTGGTAAGTTTGAGTAGGAACTAGATAATATTGATTATTATTATTATTATTATTATTATTTAATATAATCACAACTAACAAGTTGGTACAAAACTCAGTATCAGTCCATAACCAACAGACTATGATACACAATTACATATTTAAATGTCTCCTCAGAATTCGTGCAGATCCCAATAATGCAGTCTTCTGTATATGCTCAACTTTGATGTTAATCCCCAGTCTCTTATTATTATTATTATTATTATTATTATTATTATTATTATTATTATTATTATTATTATTATTATTATTATTATTATTATTATTATTATTATTATTATTATTATTATTATTATTATTATTATTATTATTATTATTATTATTATTATTATTATTATTATTATTATTATTATTATTATTATTATTATTATTATTATTATTATTATTATTATTATTATTATTATTATTATTATTATTATTATTATTATTATTATTATTATTATTATTATTATTATTATTATTATTATTATTATTATTATTATTATTATTATTATTATTATTATTATTATTATTATTATTATTATTATTATTATTATTATTATTATTATTATTATTATTATTATTTTAGTTTCAACATCACTCCATGCTTTACTCTTACTACTGTCCATGGCAATGTACCAAATTTCAGTAAGTACACATAGCAGTACAAATGAATTTTTACTCTTTATCTGCTGCAATAAGAATTCAAGTACAGTCTATCAGTTGATCCAGTTACCAGGCGTGTTGGTCTTGCTGATAATCTTGAGTCAAATGTAGTGACTCGTGAAGTCACATTGAGTGTTAACAGTGGCAGTAGAACCTGCACAAACACTAGTACCTATGTGCTCCAGGTAAGAGCATGCTTTGAAGCTTGACTAGATTATGTTTAGCTCACTGCTACTCGTTCACTTTCTCTTTTATAATGTTTCTTTGTTTCTACTCTTTCTTGTATTTCTCTAGCCTGATTTCTCAAACACTGATCCGTTTCCATTAAGCATTTCAGTAGATAATCCTGATACGCTCCTTCCACTGGTCACTCCAGAGGATACACAATATGGAGGACCACTTCATCCTATACTAAACCAAAAGGAGTCAAACAACTTTGAAAAACAGGTAAGGCTAGAATTTTTTTCAAATCGGAAAAAAATGTTTTTGTACCATTTCAGATTGTTCCAGAGTTTGTTTTAAACTGTGGTTCAGATAGAGTGTGTGATCCAGAGTATGAGATCGATGTTGAACTCATTGGAGAAACGTATGTACTATATACTCTCTAGTAATGCTGATCTAAATTAATCTTATATATACGGCAAAAATTATATTACAAATTTAAGTCTATTTAATACAATCGATAATATGCTTGTGTGTGCTTGTATGCTAGGGATACTGTTCCATTGGCAGCTGCTTACACTTTTGGTGTTCAAGTTATGCTAAATGTGACAGAGGAGGACAGTCTTGCCCCGTCACTGGTAGCACTCATACCACCAGGGATACAGTTTGCCAGCTCAGTAAGTATAGTTCACGATGATCATTAATTGTTGTGTTCACAGGAGTCCATTACTGCTTCTGCTGTGTCAAGCTGTGAAACACCTTCAACTCAAACTATTAGATGCTTGTTGAAGAATCCAATACTAGCTAATGAAATAGTAACCTTTGTATTCTCTCACTTTCTCTTTTATCTTTTTTTCTGTTCTTAGGTTTCGTTGCAGTTGTTTTTTAGAATTGATGTCCGTCAAATTGACCTCGGTGTGAATAATCTCCAGTTTAATTTCTCGATAGAAGGCAGTAATCATACAGAACCATTGGATGAAGAGTACATTGAAGTATCAACCAGTTCTGTAGCCAGCTATGGAATAAGTAGCAGGTTCAATAAGAGAGAGAGAGAGATGGAGGGAAAAAGAGATTAAAAGATGGAAAAGTGAAAGAAAATGAACAGAATAAAATTTGTAATGGAAGATTTAATTTTGAATATATATTTTTGCAGTTTTAGTAGTGATAATATTCAAGCATTCCGTCGTCTTCCAGTCACCACCAACAGTACAACTTTCAGTGACATTGGACCTACTTTAACTTACCAGGTTCACCCCTCCCTCCTCTCTCTCTCCTCCCCTTTACTATCCTGTTCCTCTCTAGGCCACAGTATCCAATACACTGACTAATGACAGGGGCTCCCCCATTCCTCGCACTCTATTAACTATCACATGGCCTTCTGTAATCACAGTCTTTGGAGAAAGGAGGCCCTACCTAGTCCCCACCAGACTGGTTAGTGGTAATAAAAAAATTTTTTTAGCATTATTATTTTTTTCATAGGCCATAATAGGGTCTAACAGCACCATATGCAGACAGAGAGGTGCTATACCTTACGATCTATTGCCTCCAGAAATCATGCCATCCTTTGTATTGCCAAATATTACAGGACCAGTCCAAATTGAAGTGAGAACAAAATATTTTTGTATGTGTAGAAAATTTGAGCTGATTCAGATCAAAAGATGTATTTTTATGAATTTTAAATAATTTTACAAAATATTCTATACTGGCTAGAAAAGAATTCTTATTTTTAAAATTATTTGAATAGAACTGTCCTGGTAATCAGATCAGCTGTGGTCTAATACAGTGTACCATTGAGTACATTCCAGCTCAATCCTCTGACGATACAACTGTGACCACACCTGTCCAAATATCATTGTTTGCAACACTATGGGTAAGAAGATGAAAGGAGAAAAGAGAGAGTCCATTACTTTTAATTCACAGAGTCCGTCCGTTCGTGAAGATAAGAACATCAGTGTGTTTACTAGAGTTGAGAGTGCAACAGAATATCCTGAAATACTGACCAATGAAAGCACCACTCAAACCAGAGTAAGCTAATTTTATTTATTTTTGCACAAATTGTTTTATTTTTATTAAACTTTTTTAGAATTTTATCAACGTGCAGTTAGGCGTGCAAGAAGTAATTGTGGACTGTGTAGATCCGTGGATACTTGCACTCTCTGTCATAGTCGGTCTATTGGTTGCACTCCTCATACTCATTGCTGCTTCTATTGTGAGTAGAAATAATACTATTAGTATATATATTACTCAAATTTGTATTGTTTTCTTTTGTTGTTTAGTCCACATTTGTGGGTCACGGATACTTCAAGAGAAAGAAGAACGAGGAGCTCCGGAAGCGTTGGAGGGAGATCCAGGAAACTGATGGGAGTCTTGGTGCTAGAGTCATACCACCACTAGGTAAGTGTGGGTATTGTATGATGTGTTAAGTGATTGTGTTATTTTTGTGATTGTAGAGTCCTTTGCAGCTCCTTCCAGCAGAAAAGCAAGTAAAGATGATGAAGCAAAGGTAAGATGAAAGGAGTAGTTGAAACAGTACTTTTATTCAATTTCTTAGGATAATGATAATGGCAATCTCCGTCCACCAAGATACAGTGATCTTGGCCCTATAACTGAGAGTTTAGCAGCTGCAGCAGTAGCAGGAGGTTTGCCTAATGACGAAGACGAATTAGAAACAGAAATATAATTGAGAACGATTATCATTATTAAAATGACAAAAACTGCATAACAGATAATACAATATCCCCCAATCATAATAGATCAGATTTATTATAAATATTAGAAACATTGATTGATTATTATACTCAAAGTCTGAAAAACTACATTAATACATTTTTCTAAACCGGATGTGACGCATAGGAATGATATTAATTAATACACATCCGGTTTCCTCCTTAAGTAGAAAATGGCAGCTAACTCGTTGTCTCCCCAAGAGTTCTCCCAGAGAAAACTGGAGAATCTGTATAGGAAAACCTGCAGCCGACTCTATCCTATGAAAGAAGGCATTAAACTACTGCAAGAGGCCGTGCTATTGAGGAAAATATTCCTGAGTGCGTGTCTTTATGCTGCTATACACTTTGTCTTCTGGTCAGTAAGGAAAGAAGGTGGGGGACTGTTTTAAATTTCAATTTTTAGGAACCTTTATTATCTTAATGACAATTGCTTCTCATTCCTGGGACGTTTGTTGTTTTGGATCCTACTGGTTGATGGTTTTTGGGTCATAGCAACTAGAGACAAGACCGTACCAGGTCAGGAATCCTCTGGACTGAGATTGAGGCTGAGGAGGAAGAGAGAGCAGACAAGTTACGTGTCTTTTGAGAAAGCAGCTATGAAGAACACCAAAAAGCTTGAGTGAGTTTGAATAATATAATCTATCGCATTAGTATGCATTCATTCTCTCTTTATTTCTCAGGGTAGGTGAGGTGGCTGAATTTGAAGTTGTTTGTCTTTGGATAGCAATATCTCTAATGTGGATAGACAATGTTCAACTGGCAATGAGACACTGGAACAGGGAGCAGCCATACATGGTAGGCCGACACTCAGCTGTACAATATCTTAAGTGCGTTTTTCTTGACAGCTAACAGTTCTATTACTTGTCGGTGGTCTTGTGACATGTTTGCTTGGATACTTTATCGATTTTGTATTGCTGGTCTATATAATAGGTAAGATGAATCCTTCTAAATGATGCCTATTTTTTATTTTATTTTAGTTATGCTTCTTCTCCTTTGGCCTGTGCTGTCTTATTATAGTGTGATCTCTTCCCTCACTGCTGCTATTAATACAAACTACCCCATCTTTACACAAAAAGTTCAAAATTATTATGAAATCATGAAAAGACATTGTATGTGAATACATTACTTTCATTTCTCTTACTTTTCTTCTTTCTTTCTCTCACCCTCTATCTCTGTCTAGTTCGCCGTCTTCCTGATGACGAGTTTAAAGATTATCAGTTAGATGTACCTAATCCTGTACCCCCTGGCAACCAAACACCACTTAATCCTAGCATGAGTCTAACACCCTTTGGTAAGCAATGATTCATACATCCTGCTAATGGGTGGAGCTACCTTAGCTCAAGGTATGAACTTACACTTCATATCCTGTGGCTCCACTTAATAGCAGGAGAGTACAACTATTCAATTACTAGCATCTCATGTAAATCTACAATGCACTACCGTGCAAGATGATCTATTACATTTAGCAAAGAGTAAATTTTAATTTCTACGACAAGCAAATTTATATTGGAGTTTTGTCATTGAGCATGCTGGATAGATTGAAATAAAATAATTAGCAATTTCTTGACAGAACTTTCACTCTCCAATATTAGTTTAAATCATCTTGTACCATATTCCTTTTTTTCATTCATTACTAGCTCCAAATTTCAATGTAATGGATTCAATGGGAGCATCCTTAATGCTGCAGCCAGGAGGATTTCACAACGTACAAGACGATTCTCTAACACTCAGTTCCTTCTCTCAGGCCAGACCTCATCACCCACACACCTCCTCCCGGCCTCTCCAGTCGCTTGGGAACATATCAGAGGCTTCCAACGAAGAGTTTAGTCCAACCGGAACAGACGAACAGTTTTACGATACATCAAGTGCCTCCCCACTCCCTCCCATAGATAATGAACCCTCGTCACGCACTCGCTCTGACACCCTCTCTCTCAGCCCTTTTGATAAGAATTCTTCAATTCACGACTCTTTTGATGATTTGGACATGGACGGACCTGGGACGAGTAAAGAGCATGGCAGCTCTGAACTGAGTCCCAAACCTTCAGACTCTGACGTGACTAGTTCTGGAACGGGAGGTGCCCAAATAGAGTCTCCCTATTTCTCGTCTAAATTGGCTTTCCCTAGTCTAATAAGCAGTACCCCCTCTGATGCTACCACTACTAGTACAAGCGGGGCAATGAGACATAGAGTGACATTCAAAGATGAAGGGAGAGATGATGAAGACTAAAGATAGGAATGTTATTTTAAGTACATTGTATGTGTAAGTGTGTGTGTGTGGGTATACTACTATTGATCAGTTTATTTGTCTTTGAATAATTATTATCATTTATTAGCAATTGTTAGTGTTGCTAAGGGTTTCTTTGAAAGTGATCTTTTGCTACCTCCTACTGGAGTCAAACTACTGCCATTGAGTGAATTAATGGAGAGAGAGAGGGGGGGGGAGGGAGGGAGAGGGAGGGAAGGAGAGAGAGGGAAGGTGGGACATTGTTAAAAGTATAATGTCTATACCTTTTCAAGTCCACCAGCAGCTGAGCTGCTCCCTCCTCCTCGTGATGGGTCCCAGGTTATATAATCAGGTCTGGTAGCTGCTTGATACTCTTCAACCAGTCGCATCACTACCTCTCTGAGGAGGAGATGAGAAATGAAAGGGAGGAGAAGGTCTACTGTCTTACTTGGAGTTTATCATTTCAGATAATTCAGAGTCGTTGCTAAAGATCTCAAACTTCTTAAATTGTTCGACGAAAGCCTTCCGACTGAACAACTTGTCAAACTGATTACAAGCTGTCTTGAAGAGCTGAGAGAGAGAGAGTGTGTGTGCATGTACAGTATGATGATGATGATGAGTGTAAGGATTAACATTACTGTTGATATCCCAGTGTGATTAGCAAGCATTAGTCCACTGACTCTGTGAGCGGACTGCATGTGTGGAGGCTTCTTAGACAAAGCCACCTATTAAGAGTCAACGATTACAATTTTCTCTCTCTTCTCTCTACCTGAATGCTGGCTGGTCCCCAAGGTATAAATTGTGCCAGTTTCCTCTCTCTGATTCGCTGGAGGCTCTTATGAACTTGAGTTGGATCCACCTCCCCTTGGATTATATTCAATATAGATATGTAGCAATGACGAATGTCCTCGTGTCTCTCCTTAGGAGTTGAAACCATGATATTCTTAGGCTAAGAGAAAGAGAGCAGGGATGCTTTAATTGAAGGCAAGTGTTGCATATGTACAGCCAAACCTGTAAAAGTCTCCTCATCACATCAAGGACGGTAGTTTTCCTAATACTGGCAACCTATAAACACATAGGAATACTCTCATACCTATACCACTAATCCCATTCCCATACACTAATTCATTCCCATCCCATACCGCTAATCTCATTCCCATACCACTAATCTCATTCCCATACTCTCTCATACCTGAGACTCAGTGGTGAGTGGTGTGTACCCAGTCATTAGGAAGTGAAGCTGTGGTGTGGGTATGAGTGATGCTATCAGTCCAATCAGATCGTTGTTCATGTATCCAGGGTAACGTAGAGTCGATGTGCTGGCAGCCATTATAGTTGAAACCTACACGTTAGAAAAACAAAGTTAGTCTTAGCCTAGAAATAACAGAGAGAGAGAGAGAGAGAGAGGTATTGTGTTACCAGCTGGTTGATTTGTGAGAAGGTTGGGTTTGGTATCCTAAGCCTCTCGGCTGCTATACTGTTCAGTGCAGTATTATCAAGAATTACCTACAAAAGTAACAAAGTATATAACGTCCTTTTGTTGTATTGGAGGAGCAAGTAACGTACTACTGAATCAGCATTTAGGCTCAGTCTCTTTAGAGTAAGTATGGAGTTGTATGGTTGGACAACTACATCACCCAAACTCCCAATGTTAGGAAACACAGAGTAGGTTTGAACCAATGTCTTTGGATATCTAAAGGGAGAATTCAGACGTGAGGTAAAATGGCCAAATTTTTGAGTAACTTAAAAAATTCGTAAAAATCCAATTTTGTTTGGAATCACCTCAAACTTTCTACACAACATAAGAACATGTATAAATGCATCAGAAAAAAAATAAAACAAAGAATTTTCTCATTGCAAAGTATGGCCCAAGACCATGTACTATAGTACAAAGACTTTGGCCCAATTTTGAGTAACTTTTAAAATTCTTAAAAAACCAATTTTGATCAGAATTAGCTCATGTGTCTAAGAATTTGAATACAGCGGTACAGTAGTTATTCAAAATCAACAGCTGCCCGTACAAACCTGTCTCCTATCCTTTCCAATAGATAAGACCCAACTCCAGACCCAGTGCCACCAGATATTGAGTGACATATCACGAACCCCTCAAGACTGTCACTGTTATCAGCTTCACGATCAAGAATGTCAAATATCGACTCACTTAATTTATCAGCCTACACAATACAAACCAATCAATGAATAATACTAGTTTTAATTATTATGTATAATTATTACTTGTGAATAGCCACTCCCCCAATTATTCCCGGCTCCACCCCCATGCTCTGATATGTAGATATTCTCAGGATTGTATAGTTTCCCATAGGTAGAGGTCTGAATGGTATTAATTACCTATCAAATAAAATAAAATAAAATATAAATCAATTATTGATTTTATAGATACCCTAGGCTCAAGATCCAGCAATACAGCCCGTGGTATGTAGTGCTCATCATCTGCCTGGTAAAAGAAGACGTCTTTTCTGTCGAGTCCCTCAACTACAGAGTCTTGCAAAATACCATCTAAATAATAATAATAATAATAATAATAGTCATTGCTGTAGTGGGTGTGGTCATTACCTGGACTAATTCCATGCTCTGCACAGAGTTGCTTCCAAAACTCCATACCAACTAGTATGAGAGAGAGAGAGAGAGAGAGGGCATGCATTAATTGTATTATTTAGAGGTACTTTGATTCCCGCATTGTCCTAGTTGTAGAGTTATGATTTCTCGCGGCATTTTCCCTCCAATTGACTCCACCTAATCATAAGGATAATTGCATATGCAAATTAGCATAATTTTCATTCAATTTTAGCATCCGATTTTCACGTGATAATTTATGGGCGTGTCTCCTACTTGGCAGCAAGCTAGCAGCAGAGGAACAGTCACCTTTACAAATTACACAAAGAGAAGGCTAAGAAGACAAAGAAAAGAAGGCAGTCATGTTTTCTTGGCTCAGGAAGGACAAGAGGCACGATGAGGTCAAAACTTACCAAACTGTCATAGATGGCCTCAAAGAGATGTACAAAACAAAGCTCCTCCCACTAGAGAAAGAGTACAAGTATGGTGAGTTTCATTCCCCGTACCTCAACGCTGGAGACTTTGACGCCAAACCAATGGTCCTCCTGATAGGCCAGTACTCTACTGGAAAGACTACGTTCATCCGATACCTTTTAGAAAGGGATTTTCCTGGCATTAGAATAGGCCCAGAGCCGACTACTGATCGATTCATGGCCCTCATGCATGGACCCCACGACCAGTCTATCCCAGGTAATGCACTAGCCGTTGATCCTAACCGTCAGTTCCGGGCTCTCCAGCAATTTGGAAATGCTTTCTTGAGTCGTTTCGAAGGTTCTTGCCTCCCCAGTGGCGTCTTGGAGAGCATAACGCTCATTGATACTCCTGGTATCCTATCTGGCGAGAAGCAGCGGGTCCATCGCGGCTATGACTTTGAGGCCGTTATTGAGTGGTTTGCTGATCGTGCCGACATGATAATCCTTCTCTTTGATGCCCACAAACTCGACATATCCGACGAGTTTCAACGCGTCATCCACACCATCAAACGAAACCAAGAGAAGATACGTATAGTCCTTAACAAGGCTGACATGGTGACGACACAGCAGCTTATGAGGGTCTATGGTGCTCTTATGTGGTCGCTGGGAAAAGTCGTGAACTCTCCCGAGGTTGTTAGGGTGTATATTGGTAGCTTCTGGGACAAGCAGCTCCAGTTTGATGAGAATAGGAGGCTCTTTGAAGCAGAGCAGGAGGACCTCTTTGCCGATATCCAGTCCCTCCCTCGTTCTAATGCCGTTCGTAGACTCAATGAGATGATTAAGAGAGCGCGTCTTGCAAAAGTCCACGCTTATATCCTAGACCAGCTCAGGTCCCAGATGCCATCGCTGTTTGGTAAGCAAAGCAAGAAGGATGAGCTCATTACGAACCTCCCCAACATATTTCACTCCATTCAGAAACGTTACCAGCTCCCGGTCGGTGACTTCCCTCCGGTCAAGCGCCTCCAGCAGCAACTAGAGGAATATGATTTTACCAAGTTCCCTAAACTCAACGTTGGACTCATTGACTCTGTCGATGTGATGCTTGCCAAGGACCTCACTCGTATTATGCAGATGCTACCTAAAGAGGAAGCGCTTACAAAAGACAAGAGGATTCGAGGTGGAGTTTTTGGACACACCGAGTCAGACCCTTTCTCTACAAAGCGTGACCTCACCAAAGCTTCTACTTACACGGCGTACGATGAAGGATGGATAGTCAGTCCTGACGCTGCTAGATATGATGCCATTTTTGAAAAACTAGGACCCAATGCTCAAGGAAAGATATCGGGTGGAGTGGCACGAGAGGAAATGATGAAATCCAAACTCCCTAACTCTGTATTGCGTAGGATATGGACACTTTCTGACATTGACGGGGACGGAATGCTTGATAGAGATGAGTTTGCTGTGGCTTATTTCCTCATTGATCACAAGTTGGCCGGTAATGATATACCAGAGACCCTTCCTGAACGGGTTGTCCCCCCGGCTAAGAGATCCTTGTACAATAAAGATAGTCCTGGCGCTTCTCTAGGAGGAGGAGGAGGAGGTGGAGGGAGGGAGTATAGTTACGGTGGGAGAGAAGAGAGACGTAAGATGGATAGTTATGATGAAGATCACGGTTTGGATCAGTACATTCAGTAAAACTACATGTATTTGATTACCATAGAGTAATTGCTGTACTTTCTCTATCTCTCTCTCTCTGTATGCAATTTTAATACAAAGCTGTGATTTCTATTCTTTATTATTATTATTATTATTATTATTATCATTATTGTTGATTAAGGACACAATTATCATTATGATTTTGTGCTTTAAAAAATTAATTTTTCCCCAATACTAAAAATAAGTCAGTGACTAATTCCTTGCTTTGGTTTCGAAGAGACTTTGTACTTTCCCTGTACAAATATCCGTCTGGCTGACACGCCCTCTTTATGATTAACGGTTTCACGCTCGACATAAGAATTCTCAATAACATCAAAACCAGCAGAAGAGAAAAGGTCACTCACTTCACCTACAAAAAAAACAATCACCATCATCAAAAAAGGGAGAGTCCTTCAAATACTATTAGTTTTGCTCTTGCATCAATTTGGAATGGCATTAAAGATTTACTTTCAGAGAAATAATAGGCTCTTGTCCCGTCCTGTCGCATATAAAAGTTCTCCGATATCTTGTGACCTTTAGAGAACCTCAGCATGGCATGATCGTACAGACCATAGTCTCTAAAAAACACTAATCCTCCATCAATCTTTAGCACCTATATAATGATAAAAAGCGTACAGTACATAGAAAAAAACCCATGATCTATGCATGCATATAAACCAGAGTTTCCCATAGGATTTTGGCATAGTGATTCTTGTCAAGTTGCTTCAAAATTTGGTATACTATATAGTACAGGGTATTAATCGCTGGAAGAGATTATTCAACTTTATTGTTTCTGGTACACACACACATACTTATGTTGTGTGTAATTGATGCTGATTCCAATCAAAATTGAATTTTTAAAAAATTTTAAAGTTGCTCAAAGCCACAGTCCCTGTTATAGTACATGCCACTATTGAAAACAAAAGAATTCTCCATTTTTATAATTTTTCTAATACATATACATGTTCTTATGTTGTGTAGCAAGTTTAAGCTGAGTCTAATCAAAATTAGATTTTTATCAATAATTTAAAGTCGCCCAAAAGCAATGTACTGTATTGTAGTGCTTTTCAGCTCATGAAGCTCATGCTGTTTAGCTCACTTAGCATGCTTTGTGAGAAACCCTGATACAAAATTATTATTATCATAACATACTGTTGAGATATTTGTAAGAACAGATTTCACTTTCTCTGGACTAATGGCAGAGAGGACAAATATAAGCAGAGCAATGTCCACAGAGTTTGGTGGTACATTGTGAGTGAGAGGATCCTTAGTTACGTCACAGACAAACCCTCGGCAGTTTTTGCTTTCATCAAATAATGGATCAGACTAGAAGAGCAACATAATTTTTTTAAAAACAGGTAATGACATAAGTTATTGTCTCAGACGTGTTAAGAAAGTGCTTTTATTCTCAATATTAAAGAGTGAGCATACCTTAAGATATTCAATGGCTCTTGGTGAGAAGTCACATGCATACACAAACATATCCTGCCCGTGTTCTTCTAACAATGGAAGGACAGCATTTCCCACGCCACAACCAACCTCCAATAGAACTGGTTTATCAACCTACTAAATACAATTGTGATTACTAACTTCAAAGCAACCATTATACATGTAATTACAATTACAGTTATTACAACAACCCTGAAACATGTATATATACTTCATGTAGGATGCTCTGTAGTTGTGGACACTCTCTTGTAATCCAGTGACGATCCTTGAAGAAATGGGTAGAGTTTCTCTTGTAAAATAGATCCCAGTTTTTCTTGGCGTCCATCTCAAGCTTGTTCCTCTTGAAATCACTGATACAATCCTTGTCCCTCTCCAATAGTCTTTCTGCCTCTTCCTCAGTTAGAACTCTACCACCAGCAGAAGAGGACATGATGAAAATGAATAGTTTAAACTCAAGAAACTAATTTATGATTAGATTCTTCTCTTCCAGTTCAGAGCAATCAAATTTGGTTCTTCTTATCCTTCTCCCTCTACTCCTCCTCTTCTATTCTATTCTTTATTGTCTTTATCAGTTATGTTTATGAATATCAGTGAATACACAACGCCATGACACAGCACGTGGTGTCCGGTCCAACCACCACACAAGGAGGACCAAACCTCAGGAGTAATCAAAAATGGCTACCACTACAGCCGGGAGCTTCTTGGCTTTTTGAAAGCGTGTCCACGCCATATCTTGACTTCTCTTTCCATATGAGAGAAGGAAGACAGGTCTTCTTATCGTCAGTAATGAGCGAGAGAGATCCCGACAAACCAAACGCCTCGGATAACTCCTGCCCGTCAAAAGCGGTCCCGTCCGGCCCTGGCTCCCTGGAGGAGCCTCCTACAGAGCCACCTCATATTTCACTCCTTTTGTCCTCCAGAGATCTCCTCTATCCCTACAGCGGGCCTACAGAGACTGAGAAAGCCGTATTGGTTCTCAAGGAGCATAGCTATGCTTCCCTTCCCCAGTTCACACAGCTAGCTCCATTCTTGCACAGACTTGCCTCATCCATTGAGGGAAAAGAAGAAGAAGAACGAAACAAGAACTCAGAGACACCATTTAATAATATCTCCGCCTCGATCTCCACCCACTCCTCCCAGTATTCCTCATCAAAGGCGAGGTCTTTGCTAAGGAATGTTCGTCAAACGCTCTCGGATACACGTCGGAGTCTGTTACTGGATGGAGGGAGAGACCAATCTGGGGGAATCGATCGTGAGAAAGCTCAGGCTTCATCATCTCATTTCAGAGAAATGATTTCTTTACAGTCGATGATGATTCATGAGCTACAGGAACAAGTACAACTAAAGGACGCTGAGAGTAACATGATACTAAGAGAGAAGGAGCAGGTAGGAATAGTTTTTTGTTGCCACAGTTTGTTATCTTTTGTTGGGTCATTTTTAATTATCAAATTTGTGGTTATTTTCACTTTGTACTTTTTGTAAACTTCACATTGGCATGATAATGACAATTTACAACAATTTCTGTGTGTCTCTCTCTTCCTTTTACAGCTCAAGGCGAGATTGGAGAGAATGGAAAGACGTCTTAGCATTCTACAAAAACATTCACACGACAAGACAGAAGCTGCCTCTGGCGAAACCATATCATCTCCAAGCACGCCCACATCAAGTCGTACGCATCGGATAAAACCTGATTCCGTAACTCGTCTGACAAGATCAGAAACATCTTCTAGTCACTCTAGAAAGTCGAGAAGTAGGAGTTCTTCGATAGAACCAATCACTAGTCGTCGTGCATCAAAACTCTCTGGGAGTGCACCTACCACAAACTCTTTAGCTGTCATGTCACATAGAGCCCACGGGAAGAGAGAGCAGGAGGAAGAGGATGAGGACTTACAGCAGGGATCAAAGAAATTGAGACTCTCTTCTATCGACAAGCCAAACTCTTTCGTGAGAACTAGTATAATGTATGATGGGCTCAACTTGGAGGAAAAAACTATTATTAATGATATTATTGTTGAAGGAAAGATCCAAGAAAGGTCTCTTCCTGATATTAAAGGTAAGCAAAGTAAATCACACCACCACTTGAGGCTTCTTACTATTGCAATGCATGAGACTATGACTTAAAATAACTTTACTACAGACTTTGGTTTTGTGTTAGGATAGACTCCAATATATCCATTCTATGCAATGAAATGAAATTTGATAGCTTTCCCATACAAATTTTTAGAATTTCAGCATGGAAAAGTTGCATATGCATTTATGTTGATAGTGTACATTTTGTCATTAGAGTTTAAGATTCGGAATATAATAATCATAAGAAAAGAATTATTTCTTTCTTCATTTGTAGTACCAACTTGGTCATTGAGTAAAAGTGATTGGTCATCAAAGGGAGGAGAGGGTGACACTGATTTAGCTTCTGTAGAGGAAGACACTTCAGACGATTCTTTTCTTAAGAGACACCATAAACTAGAAGCAGATGAGAAGAGAAGAAAGAGGTAAAAGATGGTAAGAGTCAATGAATCATCTTTTTCTCTCTCTGTCAGGTGGGATGCACAGAGACTTCGTGAGCAGTACCAGCACAATCAACTTATGAAGAGGTACATGCAGAAGGAAGGGATGCCGCAAACTCAAGAAAAGAAGAAGGAAAAGCTAACCAGCCTGCAGCCAAAACTGGAAGATCGTCAGTACCTATTTTGTTTGATGTGTTGTAGAAAGTTTGGAGCAGTTTTAATTGTAAATTTTTGAGTTGTGAACATTTGGAAAAGTGTACCAATTTTTTAATAACATCGCTGGCTATAATAATAATAATCTTGCAACAAGTTGACTCTAAAATGCCCCCAAATTTTTATTATTACTGTTGAATTACGTCTCCTTTTTTCTCTTTCTACAGTGGAAGGGATTGAATTGGCAGAGACTGTAGTAGTCTCTGGTTTTGGGAGACCCTTACCAAAAGTACCTCCTAGGTATATGTGTGTGATATCAATGACATGTTTTTAATTATTTATTTTTTTGCAGTACTTTTCGTCTTGCTAATTTTAACCCTCACTCTGCTGCTGGCAAGGGTAGGAATAAAACTCGGACTCGCTCATCATCTGGAGGCTCACTGGCTGCTTCCAATAATAATAATTCAAGTACTTCCTATTGAGTTCTTGAATGTCATAATTTTGAATTTTCTTTTCTAGTGTACGAAGACAGCAATGTTACTTGATTCTATTTCAAAATATACTCTTAGCAATAATTATTATTATTATCATTATTATTATTATTATTATTATCAATGATAATTATCAAGTTTAGAAACTGGTGAAGATATAGGAGTATGATTTGTTCACATTGCACTATAATTAGGTGCTACACTGTGACATTGCATCTAGTGTAATGAAGTAATATCCTTATAATAAATACAAGTGAACGTGTATTTAAAATACTGTTGGATTTTTAAATATTAATTTAGTACATTGGTTCTGGATACACAAATAATAATAAGTGCTTGAGGAGGATTAAAACTTGAAGCAATAGTAATAATAATAATAATAATAATAATAATAGAATGGATAATAAAAGTAAAATCATGAACACTATAATAATGATAATAATAACAGCAATATAATAGATAATAATAATAATAAAATCATAGCAATGAACTAAAATAGCAGAGTCCTTTCATACATCAGTTGCATATACAGTACCCCCTGAAGATGACTTGTGCTCTCTTGTAATGTAAGGTCTTCTAAGATATGAAGAAGCTTGAGACTGGGCTCTTGATCTCCCAGTGGTAAAGAATTTACCCTCAATCCCTCCAATGCTTTGGTGGTACTGGAGTCCACTAGGCTGACTAGCTTGGTGTTGTAGACTGCTAGGATGAGTAGGGATTCTTCCCGATCCTCCTCCTTGCTGCTGCTTATGGAGTGAGTTACTAGCAAAATGAAGTGGCTCTGTAGCTTTTCTATCTTTAAGCGATGAGCTAAGCAGGGTATCAGGGTCTTCGTAGACATGATCTTTGAAATCCTTTCCTCCTCTTCCTCCAGGAGCCTGCTGCTGCTGCTGCTGGAGAGGTGGACCTCTGACCAGTTGCTGTCCTGACTTATTGTGAAAAGAGTGCGAGAGTGAGAGTGATCGGTTATGAGGTGCTGATGGAAGTGGAGGCCTTGATATGCTCTTAGCTCTTGACAGTCCCTTATCCCCTGAGTCTCCCGTGTCCTCCCAAAACCTCTGTGCCCCTTGGACCCAGTTCACAACATTGTGGTGCTGTGGTAGACTATTGGCATCAATTTGATCCAAGGTCTCCTTGAGCTTTGACTTATCTCCTTCAGCTGGATCAATGGACGATGGCATTGCTCCTGCTTGAGGATTCCCTGTATAAAAGGACGGAGAGTTTGGTATGGACTCCTCTCCTACTGTAGTAGGCGGAGGCAGTTTTATTTCAAGAGGCCTACGGGCATTAAATGATTTCGAGCGTTTACCAGTAAATCTATCAGGAGGCTCTGAGTCATCTACTCCTCCAGTGTTTTGAATGATGGGGAGAGATGTGTCCTTCCTGAAGTGAGCAGCTCCTGGTGGAACTCCTTTATTCTCTTTCTCTGCTCCTTTCTTGCTAACTCCAGCTCCACTCAAGCTCAGTGCCTGCTGCTGCTGTTGCTGCAAAGATTGTCCTCCATGAGGTTGAGTATTGGTTTCTCCACCAGCAGCAGGAGTAGTAGCATTTGCTGATTCCTTTTTAGGATCTGGTATTTCATGATAAATAGGCTCCTTTGGTTGGAACGGTTGTTTCGTAGGAGTCTTGATATCTTTGATAGCTCCTTCTTTACTGGGTGAAGCGGCTGTCTCTTTGGTTTTTGACTGTTGTTGATCTTTGCTTTCTTTCACTGGGGGTGTCACTTTTCTTTTAATAATGGGCGAAATGCTTTTCTTTTTCTTTTTTTCCAGTGAGCCATCGGCATCTTTTACTTTAAGTTTATCATTGCGCTTGCTGTTAGAAGGTGATACAGCACTGCCTGGTGGTTTGGGGGGAGGAGAGGGAGGAGGAACAGTCCCTGTTTTGACCCAAGACATAAAACGTGCAACTTCTGGCGGTAGTTCTTGTGGAGTCTTACCCTTTTCAAGGGCAGTCTGTCTAGCAAAGAACTGTGGATCAAATGGAAGATTAGGAAGACGAGTTTTAGAGTCTTTCTTCTCATTCATTCCTCCTTCTTTATCGTCCAGTTTCATAGCAAGATCAGCTAAATGGCTAGGAGGAGGAGGAGGAGGAACAGGTTTCTTGGCTTTGCTTTTTTCTATTTTATTCTCTTCCATTTTGCTGTCTTCTTCTTTTAATGGTGGTTTCTTCTCTTCATTTACTAATGGTTGGACTTCATGCAGCTCTGGGAGTGAGACTTTGGACCCTGTACTTCTATTCTCTTCATTAGGCAAAGCTTCAGTCTTTTCATCTATATGAGGAGTTGCTTCAATTTGCAATGAGTCTACAGATGCTTCCTTCACTTGTTGATTTTGCCCTGTAGCTCCTCCATCATCCTCTTTCTTAACAATCCCATCAGCAATCAGTTGCTGTAGAGCAATTTTAGCAGCTAAGTGATCATACACAGGCTCTTTCTTTTTTCCCTCTTCCTCTCTCTTTCCTGCTTCAAGAATGATAGGCGTGCTATGCTCCCTTATATGCTTAATTGGCTTGTCTTTAGTGAAAGTATTTTCGTTGCTTGCTGGATCAATCAGAGAAGGGAGTGAAGATGAGCTTGTTTTCTGTTGAGCTGCAGCAACATTGTCATCTATACCAGCCATAATACTATCCAATACACCAAATGATAGAGCATGAGTTGGTCCATCCGTCTCCTCACTCTCTCTCTCTTCCACTTCCTTCCTCACTTTCCCTTCCTCGGAATCGCCTCTTTCAACTTCAGAAGACTCTTTAGTACTAAATTTCTTGTGAGGTTTAGGAATATCATAGTCAGGGTAGGACTTTACATGAGGCTTGGGTATGTCATAGTCTGGATACTCATCTTTCAAGGCATTGATCTGATCAATAACTCCACCAATAGCTCCTGGTATGGAGGAAAGAGAATGAGCCGATGTGCTTGTCTGACCAATCAATGAATTCTCTGATTGAGCTGCCGTTAAGCTACTCACCCCTTGAGAACTAACAGGACGTAGATCAAGAAGAGATCGAGGTATATCATAATCATTATGAGATGCAGAAGAGCAACGAGAGGGAATTAAGAACTCGCTCCTTGCACTGTGATGTCGGCTAAAAGGGTGTGGTCTTCGGAGAAACCCGGGGGAGGGAGAGGGACGAGGGATAGAGTAAAGGTCCTCGATGTGGTGACTGGAGGAGGCGGCAGCAGAATTAGGTCGGTAATATGGAGAGGAGGATCTTTTGTGAAGAGGGGGAGAGGGAGTTCCTTTTTTGACGAGTAGTCTGTACCCGTTGGAGGGAGACAGAGATGATGATGAGGTCGATTGCTGCGAGTTTGCTTCTGCTTTTGTAGCATTTGACTCATCAGGGTCAGTCTGTGGGGAAGTCACTGAATCATCTAGATCTCTGAGAGAGAAAAAATTAACGAATAAAAAAATATAAAATGCATCCTCTTACTTTTTCTGCTGGTCTTTCATCCACTTCTGTAGCATGAGAAGGTTCTTTTTCTTCTGAGCACTCGTCCCTTCCTCTCCTCCAACTGGCGATACAGAGGAAGCAGTGGTGCCTCTTCTACCCAACCCCTCGATACTCTGGGACTGAGCTGAATGAATCAATACCTCAGGGTTGCTGTTGCTCCTCTCGTGTTTGAGATGAACTACATCTCCTTCGTCTTCATCCTCCCCTAGGTTATCGGCAAGGTCCAACAATGAGTCGTGTACGGAGTCATCTTCAGACTCAACGGAGTCCAAACGCTGAGAGCTTGATAAAGGAGACGGGTCTGAAACACCCTCCTCGTTCCTCTCTTGTGAGTGGGCAGAGGGGCCGATTGTCGATGTTACGGTGAGTGGGCGGAGTGCAGAATTGAGTGGGTGTGATGGCTTGAGGGGATTGCTTGTCGTTGATAGTTTGTTTATGGTGTCTCGGGGGAGACTGAGGGACCGTTGGAGTTGTCCTTTGCCTCTTTCCCTCTCTCTCCTCTCTTCCTCGTTCTCTATGCTTTTCAGTAAGACTTGCGAGAGCATTTCTGTTGATACTGAGGACGGGATTTTAATTTGAGTTGGCCCTGGAATAAAAGAGATGATGAATCATTAACAATGACAATCATTAGAAGATTTATGTACCTTTTAAAGGAACCTTCATCTTGAATGATTCTCTATAATATATACAAAAACAAATAATAAAAATAAGATTGTTTTTTTAAAATAACAATAACAACAAGAGTACATAATGTACAGAGAATAAACGGTTTGTGACTTTAATACAGTATGGGCTAGCTGTTTCAACAGCTAGCATAGTACAGTTAGATACTCTCCCTACATTATCTATTCTTGATAACAATAATATCAATAATACTAATACTAATAATAATAATAAGATAATAATAACATAATATTGATATTGCAGGACTTACTTGTAGAAGTTGATGTATTCGATGACAGTTAGATAGAGCTCTCTGCATGTTCTGTTTGAATCGACATCGTAATGAACACTAGTTGGCTTTGAGCTCCCGGATGCCTTTGATTAATAAAGAATGATACATACAAATTGTTTAGTAATGCAGCAGTAATCCTCATCAATTACCATCAATATTGATTGCAATTACATGCAATTACATTATGAAAATATTTCAATGATTAATATTATAGTATTCTAGTGGGTAATGAGATTTTAAGTAGCACACTCCCACTATAACAAACACCTGTTGGACTCCCACTCACTGCTAGGTGAACCGTATCAATGAATCAGTGAGTTATCATGAGATCATTGCATATACAAATGTACAATAATAACGTCCAATAGTAACAGTAAAGATGGTATATAAGGACATCAATATGCATCAGAAAATGTAATAAAAATTGGGAGTGATTTCGGAGCCATTTTTTGGGAAAAACCATGGGCTACAGTACAGGGTATTTTCGGAAATTGGCCTGTTCTTTAAAATGGCCATAACTTGAAAAATTTAAGTCAGAATCAGCTCAAACTTTCTACATAGCATAAGGACATCAATATGTATTAGAAAATGTAATAAAAATTTGGGGTAATTTTGGAGCCATTTTTTGGAAAAAACCATGGGCTATAGTACAGGGTATTTTTCAGAATTTGGCCAATTTTTTTAAATGGCCGTAACTTTAAAATTTTAAGTTGAAATCAGCTCAAACTTTCTACATAGCATAAGGACATCAATATGTATTAGAAAATGTAATAAAAATTGTGGGTGATTTTAGAGCCATTTTTTGGAAAAGACCATGGGCTATAGCCCATGGTCTTTTAATTTATTTAATTTTAATTTATCATAACCTACCTAGATTATTTATTTATTTATTTATTTATTATATTGTTCATTTGTGTGTCTCTCCCTTCACTTTTATTTCAAAAAGATTTGTTTATTTATGGGCAAAAAAAATGGGCTATAGCCCATGGTTTTTTCCAAAAAAGGTGTGAAAAAAGGTATGAAAAAAGTTGCAAAAAAAGGTAAAAAAAAGATGTGAAAAATGTGTAAAAAAGATGTAAAAAAAGATGAGAAAAAAGGTAAGAAAAAGGATGTAAAAAAAAGATGTAAAAAGATGAAAAAAAAGTGTGAAAAAAAGGTGTAAAAAAAATTAAAAAAAGGTGTAAAAAAAG